TAAATTTTTCAAAGAAAAAAGTAATCTTCATCAGTTCATTCTATGAAGCTGACATAAATGATCTCAATACCAAATGTAATATGAGAAAGGTCAATGTCACTCATGAATATAAATAGAAAATTCATAAATAAAACATAGCAAGTAGTATCTTGACTTTATATATATCAGGAGTGAAAAATTACTTTAACATTTGAAAAGAATTGAGAATTGTCATTTACCACATTAATACGGTTAAAGGGAGAGAAATATAATCATTTCAACTAATACAGAAAACGCATTTGATGAGACCCAGTACCATGCATGATAAATAATTTCTCAGCAAACTAGGAATCCCTAACTGGGTGAAGGATATCTACCAAAAACAAACTATAGTAAACATTCTTCACTGTAAACATTGAAGACATTTCCTTCAAAATCAAGAGCAAGTTAATGATGCCCAAAGCCACTGGCTTCTCTCTAGCACCGTCCTGAAGGTCCTAAAAGGCTATCAGAATAGACAATAATTGAAAAGCATAAAGATTGAAAAGGAAGAAGCAAAATTGGAATTATGAAATGATTACATAAAACTACGCAAAAAGGATTATGAAAAATAAAATTTAATGATTGATAGATTATAAAAGTTCAGTATACATGTCAATCGTACTATAAACCAACACACAACAACAAACAAAAATACCATTTAAAATAGCACATAAAACCATAGGCAATCTAGGCATAGATCTAACAAAACATGTACATGAACTGTATAGAGAAAATTATAAAATTTTATTATAAAAACTGACCAAAATACTCCACCAAGGAAAGATGTATCTACTAGACACTGTGCCAAACCCTATATAATGTGAATCCTTTAATGCTCACAACAGCCCTCTAAGGTAGGGTCTCTTACTCCTGTGTTAAAATGAGTAAATTCAAGCTCATATAGGCAGGTAACTTTTGTAAGATCCAGAGTTACTAACATGATGCTTCCTCCCTGGGAAGCTGCTGTGTTCCATTGGATATAATATAATTTATGGTAAATATCTGGTGGTTCAGGAAAAACAAGTTGATCATGGGGCCCTTTTCTGCTCAGACCTGTCACACTGGCACTGATTGTAGGAGATAGTGTTTCACTGAGCAGGAAGCATTGACAGGTGGCTGGAATCTGTCTGGGCTGCTGATAAGCTAACTCTGGTTTGGGCTGTCTGTGGAATGCCATGGTTTCAATCCGGTTGAACAAGTGGGAATGATGACTGCACCTTGGGCCTGCGCCAGCCTGCCAGTGAGCCGCGGCTGCAAGAGCAGGACAGGGTGGGGGAGCGTGGGTGGCCACGCATAAATACACAGAGAAGGGAATGGGGACAGCTTGTCTCTAGAGCGAAAGAGTAGACGAGAGCACGCTCCTTGGTTATTTGAGAAGAGGGCAAATGTCAGAGCAAACGTAAAGGTGAAGATGCTAGCCAGTTCCCACCTCTCCCTTTTCAACATAAACAATCAAAAAGAGAAATTTTATGTTTGGATCCATGGGAATTTTTGTGTTTGTCTTGCTTTTTGTTTGTGTTAAGAAGCGTATTAGTTGAGGTGAGCAGCCCTTAACAGAACCGTGGGCAGCAGGTCAGGGGCCACTTTGTCTCTGTCCTTGTAGTGGAGAGCCTGGGGCCTCCTCCCAGGAAATGAAGCCTGGTCCCCAAGGTTCTGCCTGGACCTCCCTATTTAGGCATGGAACGGAGAGGCAAGTCAGGGGAGGAGGTAGTTAGGGGGTGAAGAGGCCTTTAAATGACCTACAGACAAAAAAAGACATTATGAATTCAACATGAAAATGTATACTTTGATTCCTACTCTTAGATAGCATACTGGACACTAAAACAGATCTCAGCTCTCAAAGACAAGGGAGAGAAACATAACATGATTGGACTTTGAGTGGAAAAACTAGTTCCAGTCTAGAAATCTATATCCAGCTGAACTTCCTGTAAAGTTTGAGGACAGATCATGAACAGTTTAAAAAATTTTATCTTCCACTCTCTCCTCAGGAAGCTAGATATGAGATTCTAAATTTAAGTCACTTAAGAAAGAAAGATATGGGGTATAGGAAATAGGAAATCCAACATAGTAGAGCAGCAAAGGGGAACCCCCAGATTTTGTGACAATAGATCCCAGAATGAGTGCTGTGACCCAGGTATAGATGCCAACCCATTCAGACTGGAGACAGCAGAAGGCCCTAGGAGAGTCTGCAGGGTACAGTGCCTGTGAGGCTCAGCATCCTCAGAGAAGATTTTGGTAATTTATTGAGGTTTTGTGTAGATTTTGTGGTAAGTGTATTAAAACTAATTTTAAAATGTATATAGGAAAAGTCATTATGTTTGTTATATTTAAAGCTATAAATTCCCTAATGTATCATTGTAATCCGTAAGTTTTGACATGTGGCATTTTTATTATCATCTAGTTCAAAGTGTTGTCTCTTTTCCACTGTGATTCCCTTTTTTTATTGGTATAAATTTATGGAGTTCAGTGCAATTTTGGTTACATTGTTATTTTATTCTACCATGTTTGATTTGTTTATATTTTTGCTCACTAGTCCTTCATGTGGCTCAAATTTTATATCAGGATAATTTTCTTCTTCCTAAAGTACGTAATTTAGAAATTATTTTAGTAAGTTAGTAAATCTTAGTAAATTCTTCAGGCTCTATAAGTGGAAAATGCTCCTAGTTTTTCTTTGTTTAAAAATGTCTGTATTTTATCATTCTTCTTGAGAGATAGTTTTGTTGGTACACAGTTCTGAGATAGCTTTCTGAATTCTGAAAATATCCCACTGTCTTCTGGCTGCATTCATTGCTCTTGATAAGGTTGATATAAATCACATTTGTATTTCTATGCAGATGTTTTGTCCTTTAAAATCTTCTCATTGTGTACTTCTTGCTTTTATTTTTTTTTTTTTATTTTTTTTTTTTTTTTTTGAGACAGAGTCTCACTTTGTTGCACAGGCTAGAATGAGTGCCATGGCGTCAGCCTAGCTCACAGCAACCTCAAACTCCTGGGCTCAAGCAATCCTTCTGCCTCAGCCTCCCGAGTAGCTGGGACTACAGGCATGCGCCACCATGCCCGGCTAATTTTATCTATATATATATTAGTTGGCCAATTAATTTCTTTCTATTTATAGTAGAGACGGGGTCTTGCTCTTGCTCAGGCTGGTTTCGAACTCCTGACCTAGAGCAATCCTCCCGCCTCGGCCTCCCAGAGTGCTAGGATTATAGGCGTGAGCCACCACGCCCGGCCACTTCTTGCTTTTAAAATCTCCTCATCTTTGGTATTCTGTAGTTTCATTACAGTGTGCATATTCAAATGGATTTCTATTTAGTTCTGCTTGCTACTTGTTTTTCTTCCTGTATCTTGGCTCAGCTGTGAAAAATTCTCAGTCACTCTATCTGTACATTATGACTCTTGTTCCTTTGTCTTGGTCTTCTGGAATTCCTGTTAGACCTTCTCATTCTCTCCTCTGTATTTCTGCACAGTTCTGGCATATTTTCCTCTGTCTGCTCTCAAGCTACATTCTGTATAATTTATTCAGGTTTATAACCCAGATTCCATAAGCACAGTCTTCAGACGTATATAGCAATTTGTTTCACCTATTCAATGATTTTTTTATTTCAATAAATTGTGTCTTTCCTTTTTGAAAACTATATTTCATTCTTCTTCAAATCTGCCAAGTCACTTTGTATAGTTTCTTTGTATAGTTTCTCCTATTTGTATTTTGGGGGCTTTGCCTCTTTAAAATATTTATTCTGTATTTCATATCTCTTAATTCTAATATCTCAAGTCCTCAGCAGGTCTATTGTTATTTCTTTAGACTCTCTAGTTTATTTCCTTGTGTTTGATGGTTTTTATTTGAGCACATTTTTGTTTGATCTTACTCCATGGCAAAGTAGGCAATCCAATTAAAAATACTTTCTTTCAGACACGACACACCTTTGCTTCTCTTGCAAAACCCGCCAGTCTTCATCACGGAGTCTAGAGCTCTGTCCCTTTTGCCAAGGCAGTGCTTAAGGCTCCTGGCTTCAGATTGATTACTGGCTTTTCTTTGTTCATTGTTTGTCATCTCTTCTTTTTCAACACATACTTTTCTTTATATTCTTATCTTTAAAATAATTTTATGTCCCACAGTCTATTTTGTGATATTATTTACTAACAGGCTCCATGAAATGTTTTCTGAGAATATGTCATTTTGTGGTAAATAAGACTTCATTTACCTGAATTATGAAGTGAAAAGATTGGAAATGCAGTCATAAATAAACTTTCATGAATACTGCCCTATGAACTTAAAAATCAGGGGGAATCCCATCATGTCACTGGATATCCATCACGTCTGTGTTGCTCCAAGCTAGGACACTGACTTTATCCTGCTGTATGCTTATCTGTAAATATGTACCTTCTCAGAGAAAGCCCCTTGCTGTTGTTCTTACCATAGTGTTACTCTGAAGCTTTCCTCAGTATTGAGCATCCACACAAAATATAAATGTTTCCTCTCTTGGGAAACAGGATAAAAATGGGGAAAGAGGACATCCTGTTTCTGGGCAATGGTAGTATATTTGGTTTAAGAGGCTGGTCATCTTTGTATGTTTTTTAGCCACATTTGGCTTAGGGTTTAGTTTCCTGCCAAAAGAGAATTCTATCTCCTGTGTTTTGTGGATAGTAATCCAAAAACACCTGCATGTACATATCCAAATGATGTGTGCTTGAATCCAACTTCATTACCCTGACTCATCTATGTAGGAAGATGATTATGGTGGATTTGTAGTAAAAGAGAGAGAAATCCTGCCTTCTTTATCAATCCATACTGCCTCCTACAAGAGCAAGTGTGGGCTGGGCATGGTAGCTCACAGCTGTAATTCTAGCACTTTGGGAGGCTGAGCTAGAAGGATCGCTTGAGCCTGGGAGTTCTAGGCCAGCGTTAGCAACATAGCAAGACCCCATTTCTACAAAAAAACAAACAAACAAAATGAACAAACATGAGTACTGTTTTACAGAATCTGTCTTCTGGTGCAAGACGCCTGTGGAATGTTTGGTGAAGTGCACTTGGAGGCCGCCATCTTGAAGGGAAGACAATTGGAAGGGAAATCCTGCAGCCTGGTGGGCATGAAGGTGCTACAGAAGGCCACCAGAGGAAGGTGAGAGCATAGAGAATGGCTCCAGTTTACTGCAATGGCTGGTTCTTTCATTAGTCTTTCATCTCTAATTTTATTTGTAAAGACAATAAACCAGGATCCTGGAGTTTGGCTGTGAAACAAGGCCAGAGGTTGAATGAGGCCCATAAAGTACCTCTAGGGGAAAAATTATAATAGATAACAAAAAGAATTGTGCATGTTCAGTGAATCATAATTTCATTAAAAATAAGAAGAGAAAAAATGTATATATATGTTTAAATTCTAAAGATTTATCTTCTGTTTTCTTAAGTATAATAATAAATCATTTTTGCATGACAGTTTAATGTAAATGAAAATCTAATTTAGTAAAAAGGCATTTTAGAGTTTTAAACAAAACTCTTAAGTTGCCACATCTTTGCGCTTTCTGTAGTAAGCAAGCTTTGTTCTCTGTCAAGTGTCATGCAATCCCACCTTCAGATGTTGTTTTAGACAGGCAAAGGTGGAATGGTACAAAGATATGGCCCAAACTGTGTCTGTTACATCTGCAGTAATCATTTTAATCTATAAATTAGGGAAAAGAACGTTTTTAATGGAACTATCCAGTCATACAGTGAATTAGTATAAACAGTAAATTGGGAGTTTTCTCAATCTTATTGTAACATCTCCTTCTTCAAATAGTGTGTTATTTTAGCTCTCTTGATGTTGATGTTTTGTCTAATAATAGTAACATCTGAGCTTATAAGAGTATCTGAGGGAGAAAAAAAACCATTATGAGGATATGATATTCTGATTTTTATGCATTTATTGATAGCATCCTCCAGTGGTTTGCTTAATTACCATTCTAGCCATGGCCATTCTAAATAGTGAACATTTGCCAAGTATTTCTCCTGAATGACCTCACCAGGCAGTCAGCTCTCCCTTGGGCCTAGACTCCGGTCTTGTTTGTCTTTTCTGTGGCACAGTATTGGTGAGTAACAGCTCTGCCCAAGAGCTTGTTTTCCTGGAAGACATATATGACATAGATATTTGCCTTGTAAGCACTAAGTAGATACAGGAACATTTTATTGATCCATATAGATGTGTCTTACAACAAATGCTTCCTTTTGTTTGTAAAAAGGCATTTGTATTATAATATAGTTGCATTATAGATTTGGGAGTGGGGGTGGGATTTTCCCAGATATTTGGAAGACATGTCTAGATAAAAGGAAACCTTGAGTGGGTCACATGAACCTTATCCTCATTAAGTCTGAATCTATTTTTGTCCTCATTACAATGTTCATGTGGGCAGTTGAGATTCACAAGCATCTGAAGACTGAGAGTAGTTATGGTAAGATGATATCCCTGCTGTGGAGGTGTTCTTTCACTCAGACTCCACGCATAACTGCCCACCTGAGCCCACCATGAACATCATAGGCTCCTGCCCAGGATGCTCTGGCTGTCAGGAGTCCTGCTGTGCTCCAGGCAGAGACTGCAGGACATACCTTTTTGTGGAAATACTGCTGATGAAGAATACAGCCACGCCTGGGGCCGTGGTGTCTTGGGCTCTATGAAATTCCTGCTCTTTCATCATTATGCTTCACAGCCATACGTGTCCCTGATATTCAACACAGCTTTTACGTGGGGCACAGTGGAAGCCTAACTGTCATCTGCAACGTTTCCGTGGGAAATGCACCAAGTATTCCAAAAATTTCATGTTAAAGTTCCATGATGCTTTTTTAGGTTGGGATTAATTTTACTTTATATATTTAACATTATTTTGGCATGAAGCCATCCAAATAAATATTTAGATTGTCTTTATGTTCTTTTGGAAGCTATATTTCTTCAAAACAAATTATTAAATAGTTGTAGAATGCTGGATGTTATAATTGCCTATTAGTTATATCACCCATTGTCAGTCATCCCACCCACAGCCCAGTAAACACAACAGTATCTCTCTTTTACCTCCCCCAGATTATCGTGTTTCATAGCAAATCTCAAAACTTTAACAAAATACACTTTAAATAAACCTTAACAAAGTATGCTTACTTTCCAAAACTCTGCTAAAATTATTAATTTTATAATTTTAATATCTAATACAGAAAATAACTTTTTCTCCCTTGAAATATAGTTGTATGTTTGGGCTAAGTCATGAAGCCTTTTAGATAAAGCCTTTTAGCACCATAAGATAAGTGTCATCTTATGTAGACTTCTTGAAAGGCCCTTCTAGAGCCATGCACTGGAGAAGACACTTTTGGGAGGCAGCTATGCTCGCCACCACACCACCAATGCGCTTGGAGAAGATATTTTTGAAAGGCATTTTGTCGCACTAAATGTGTATAGAGAGCTCTGAGTGTTGAGAAAGGAAGCAACCGACATGGTTTTTGAATTGCATTCCTTGGAACCAAAAACAGGACAGGGAAAGTACTAGAGCAGTTGATGACTGGAGTGGTTAGGTCTTATAACTGACTGATCTCAGAAGATTTCATGAAAGAAGTGAGAACAATGCTTTAAACATCTTTATCTGCCAGAAAGAAAAGTCTATTCAAATTGGTAAGATGCTATCTGTGAAGACATAAAAGTAGAGTTAGGACAGGTATATGCAAAAGGGGAAGTGAGAGGGTTTATTGAAAAGATAGTCCACGCATTTATTCAGTAAATATTATTTAGTACCTCTTTGTGCTGTGCCCCTGGCTACTTGCTGTGGCATTGAACTATTCTAGATTTGGGGGATTTATCCCAATCCAGGATATACTAAGATATAAAGTCAGTTAGATAAAACCTAAATCCTATTATTAGGGATTTTGCATTGATCCCAGAGAAATTAAGGTCATGAATTTTGGAGTGAAGGAAGGAAGAGGTCATAAAAAGGCCCATTGTACCCATAATAGATGGGAAATAGAAGGAGAGATTGGGGGCAGGGCTACTAGGTTGGAAACTTCTACCACAGTTGAGGGAAGAACAGAGAACTGGTTATGTACTCTCTTAGGAGCTGAGGCAGAAGAGAACAAGACAGCCCACTTCCTCTGGGGAGCCAGGAGGAACCCCGGAAAGATGCTGGTGATGCAGGCAACACCTGGCCAGCACCCACACAGAGAGCTGATCTGGAGCAGCCACTTTGGAGGGGGCGCGCTGGAAGATTTAGGAACTCTGGAGAGACCGAGACAGGCCTGGAGCTGAGGCCAGAATGGGAGGGCACACAGCAGTCTCACCGCCCGCTCCCCTCCAGTGAGGACCCAAGGGGCCTGGCTTAGCTTCAGTGAGTGGGGCGGGAGTCTCAGGTGCATTTCAGAGAATAAGCCAATTAGTAAATTGTGTAAATACCCCCTTTCGTTTCTATAGTAGCAGATTAAGTGCTGATAAATCTTACACCGGAAGCCAAGCTTAGTCAACATGCTCAAAAACTATCCAAACCCCCTGTCAGGGCACGAAAGTCCCTTGGAAGCCCCAGCCTGATCCCAGCGCACTGCCCTGGTAGGCTGTTGCACCTGCTCCCACTTGCAGGCCGACCTCCGCTGGGCGGCCTCAGCGGGCTCCGGTCTCCTGCGCAGGTGCCCCCAGGCCACTCTCCCTCCTCCTGCGCAGGTGCCCCCAGGCCACTCTCCCTCCTCCTGCGCAGGTGCCCCCGGGCCACTCTCCCTTCTTCTGCGCGGGTGCCCTCGGGCCTCTCTCCCTTCTCCTGCGCAGGTGCCCCCGGGCCGCTCTCCCTTCTCCTGCGCAGGTGCCCCCGGGCCGCTCTCCCTTCTCCTGCGCAGGTGCCCCCGGGCCTCTCTCCCTTCTCCTGCGCAGGTGCCCCCGGCCTCTCTCCTTTCTCCTGCGCAGGTGCCCCCGGGCCTCTCTCCCTTCTCCTGCGCAGGTGCCCCCGGGCCGCTCTCCCTCCGCCACCGGGTGGACTAGAGAGGCTTGCTGCGTCCCCTGTGCCTGGGACCGTGAGGTGCCTGCTGACCTGGGTCTCGAGAGAGGGATATTTTCGTGTTGGTGGGGGTCACAGTGGCAGGCATAAGTTTGAACGTGCCCATTTTTTTCGGTAAATAATACGAACATCAACATTCCTATGAGAAACCTTGAGAGGCATCACAGAATGCAGTGGCCGACTGCCACCCACCCCGCTGCTGGCCTGCCCCCCGGCCCACCCCCCTGCACCCCGCTGGCCTGCATGCACCCTGCTGGCCTGCACCGTGTGCCTGCCTCGCACCACCTCGGCCCCCACATTCCGCCGCCTCCCCACGTGCTGGGCTGCCAGGCACTGCGTGTCATGGGCCTGTTGACTCATGGACCTACTGATGGCCTCGTGTTGGTCACTGGCATGCTCTGGTCCTGGTATGTTCCCAGCCTGCAGGGAGTCAGGAAGGCACCTCCGTGGCGTGCCCAGCCCGTGTCTCGGACGCTGGCCGGTCGGGAGGCTCCCCGAGGGCAGGCGCTGCTTCTCGGTCACCACTGTGTTTCCTGTATGGGGCCGAATTCCTGGCGCAGGAGAGGATGAGAGGCCAATAGTAATATTTGTGGGATAGAAAGTAGTTGTTTTCTTGGGTTCATTTTAGAATTTTCTCAGCAAGATTTGAATGTGTAGTTTTGTACTTCATGAATAATTATTGGAGCCAATTTTAGCTGAAAGAGACCGGTTTGGTCCCCAAATCCTCTTTCAGTGCAGGTGACAACCACACTGGCCATGAGCCTCTGGAGGCCGACTCAGTTCCTCGCTAAGTCTAAGGGGAAGTAAATGAGCACATGTTGTGAAGCACTTTATCAAGGATGGCAAGAGTATGAACATTCATTACTATTTAAAGGGAAAAAGGCGTGTGTGCATTGCACTTTTCTTGTCCCTTTTAGTCCACACAAAAGTCAGTGAGGGAGGGAGGCTCAGCACCCACCCAGTCCTACAGAGGAGGGCCTGAGACAGAGGGTGGGTGACTGGGTAGGGTGCTGGGACATTCAGTCTCCCAAGAGCCCATGACTTTCTCAGCAGCTGGGTGAGACCCCCGAGTGCACGAGTGTCTGTAGAGAGAATCCTTAGAAAGTGCAGCGCGGCTCTGCTGGGCGGGGTTATT